ATGCCCCTCCAACCCCTTAGCGACTTTTCATCGGCTCTCTAAATGTGGCTTCCCTTATTCCTTGGATGTGCCAGCAGCAGCCTCTGGCCAAGAGACCCACAATAGTAGCAGTAGTGCTGACAGAGGCGTCACACTCTCCGTCCTCAATCAACGTGATGGATTCCTCATATTTCACAAGGTTAGTGCTTTCACAGATAACTCTGCTTTATTTTTGTATTGTAAGTAGAGATACCAGAAGAATAGTTAAACTGAAGATATTTGTCTACCATATTTGAGCACCTTGCCAACAACTTCAAGCATGTTTAAAACAGTAATTGTATACTTGACAGGCCTCGTCAAGAATTCGTATATCATAAATATTATATCTTATTTCACATAAAGTATTTAAGATCGTCACACGCGAATTATTAAGACTTTTATTCATACTATATATTCAAAATTAAAACAAAAGTATTTCCGTATTTCCCATGTCAGTCGTTAGCTTAGGCCCCAGAACGGCCTCAGCAGCCCTTACAGGGTTCCTCTCTCTGACAATTAGCCAGAAACACACACACAGCACTATTATTGAGTGATGTTCTAGCACAGCTTGGACACACATAATGTCTCGTCTCATCTCTCTCTCTCTCTCTCTCTCTCTCTATATATATATATATATATAATGTCGTACCTAGTAGCCAGAACGCACTTCTCCCTACTATGCAAGGCCCGATTTGCCTAATAAACCAAGTTTTTCTGAATTAATATATTTTCTCAAATTTTTTTCTTATGAAATAATAGTTACCCATTTCATTATGTATGAGGTCAATTGTTTTTATTGGAGTTAAAATTAATGTAAATATATGACCGAACCTAACCAACCCTACCTAACCTATCTTTATAGGTTAGGTAGCCGAAAAAGTTAGGTAGTCGAAAAACAATTCATGAAAACTTGGCTTATTAGGCAAATCGGGCCTTGCATAGTAGACTGAGAAGTTCGTTCTGGCTACTAGGTACGACATTATATATATATATATATATATATATATATATATATATATATATATATATATATATATATATATATATATATATAGTGTGTGTGTATATCACGAAAATAAACACGTGATTAAGAATGTGACAATGTCAGACCACGGAGGAAAATGAAACAGGAATTTCCTTAAGTACTTTCGTATATTAAATACATCTTCAGAAGGAATTAAATACATCTTCATTCCTTCTGAAGATGTATTTAATATACGAAAGTACTTAAGGAAATTCCTGTTTCATTTTCCTCCGTGGTCTGACATTGTCACATTCTTAATCACGTGTTTATTTTCGTGATATACACACACACACACACACATATATATATATATATATATATATATATATATATATATATATAATGTATATATGTCGTACCTAATAGCCAGAACGCACTTCTCAGCCTACTATGCAAGGCCCGATTTGCCTAATAAGCCAAGTTTTCCTGAATTAATATATTTTCTCTAATTTATTTCTTATGAAATGATAAAGCTACCCATTTCATTATGTATGAGGTAAATTTTTTTTTGTTGGAGTTAAAATTAACGTAGATATATGACCGAACCTAACCAACCCTACCTAACCTAACCTAACCAATCTTTATAGGTTGGGTTGGGTTAGGTGGCCGAAAAAGTTAGGTTAGGTAGGTTAAGTAGTCGAAAAACAATTAATTCATGAAAACTTGGCTTATTAGGCAAATCGGGCCTTGCATAGTAGGCTGGGAAGTGCGTTCTGGCTACTAGGTACGACATATATATATATATATATATATATATATATATATATATATATATATAATATATATATATATGCGAACAAGCCTGAATGGTCCCCAGGACAATATGCAACTGAAAACTCACACCCCAGAAGTGACTCGAACCCATACTCCCAGAAGCAACGCAACTGGTATGTACAAGACGCCTTAATCCACTTGACCATCACGACCGGACATAATGAGGTGATAGCCTAAGCTATTTGAACCACCCCACTGCCGGCACTCGGATAGTAATCTTGGGCATAGCATTTTACCAAATCACCTCATTCTTTGGGGCACACGTGAGGAACACAAATGCGAACAAGCCTGAATGGTCCCCTGGACAATATGCAACTGAAAACTCACACCCCAGAAGTGACTCGAACCCATACTCCCAGAAGCAACGCAACTGGTATGTACAAGACGCCTTAATCCACTTGACCATCACGACCGGACATAATGAGGTGATAGCCTAAGCTATTTGAACCACCCCACTGCCGGCACTCGGATAGTAATCTTGGGCATAGCATTTTACCAAATCACCTCATTCTTTGGGGCACACGTGAGGAACACAAATGCAAACAAGCCTGAATGGTCCCCAGGACTATATACAACTGAAAACTCACACCCCAGAAGTGACTCGAACCCATACTCCCACAACTGGTATGTACAGGGACGCCTTAATCCGCTTGACCATCACGACCGGACATAAGGAAGTGATAGTCGAGGCTATATGAACCACTTCCCCGCCGGCACTCGGATGGTAATCTTGGGCATAGCATTTTATCAAATCACCTCATTCTTTGGGGCACACGTGAGGAACACAAATGCAAACAAGCCTGAATGGTCCCCAGGACTATATACAACTGAAAACTCACACCCCAGAAGTGACTCGAACCCATACTCCCACAACTGGTATGTACAGGGACGCCTTAATCCGCTTGACCATCACGACCGGACATAAGGATGTATATAGTTGTATATAGTCCTGGGGACCATTCAGGCTTGTTTGCATTTGTGTTCCTCACGTGTGCCCCAAAGAATGAGGTGATTTGATAAAATGCTATGCCCAAGATTACCATCCGAGTGCCGGCGGGGAAGTGGTTCACATAGCCTCGGCTATCACTTCCTTATGTCCGGTCGTGATGGTCAAGCGGATTAAGGCGTCCCTGTACATACCAGTTGTGGGAGTATGGGTTCGAGTCACTTCTGGGGTGTGAGTTTTCAGTTGTATATAGTCCTGGGGACCATTCAGGCTTGTTTGCATTTGTGTTCCTCACGTGTGCCCCAAAGAATGAGGTGATTTGATAAAATGCTATGCCCAAGATTACCATCCGAGTGCCGGCGGGGAAGTGGTTCATATAGCCTCGGCTATCACTTCCTTATGTCCGGTCGTGATGGTCAAGCGGATTAAGGCGTCCCTGTACATACCAGTTGTGGGAGTATGGGTTCGAGTCACTTCTGGGGTGTGAGTTTTCAGTTGTATATAGTCCTGGGGACCATTCAGGCTTGTTTGCATATATATATATATATATATATATATATATATATATATATATATATATATATAACTATATATATATATATATACTAAATCTGTTATATATATTAAATTTAAAATATTTATAAATGTTATAAATATCTAAATTCTGGCTTGTTCGCATATATATATATATATATATATATATATATATATATATATATATATATATATATATATATATATATATATATATATACAATATATAAATATATATAATATATATATAATAATATATATAAATGTCGTACCTAGTAGCCAGAACGTACTTCTTGGCCAAGTATGCTAGGCCCGATTTTCCTAATAAGCCAAGTTTTCCTGAATTTACATATTTTTCTATTTTTTTTCTTATGAAATGATAAAGCTATCCATTTCACTATGTATGAGTTTATTTTTTTAAATTTGAGTCAAAACTAACGTAGATATATGACCGAACCTAGCCTCCCCTACCTAACCTAGCATAACCAAACCTAAACTAAGTCAATAATTTATTTTCTTATTATAATATTATAATAATTCAAATAAACCAATTGGAATCAATTTGTTGAAATAAAAGGAAATCACTCAGCCTATTAGGCAAATCGGGCTTTGCATAGTAGGCCAAGAAGTGCATTCTGGCTACTAGGTACGACATATATATATATATATATATATATATATATATATATATATATATATATATATATATATATATATATATATATATATATATATATATATATATATAATATACTATAAAATATGCACAGACTTATTAACTACAAGTTTGAAGTATAGAACTTTACTTCTATAGTTCTATACAAACTTTACTTCTAGAACTTTACTTTCAGAAGTTTTATACTTCAAACACGTGATTTATAAGCAAGTCTGTGCATTAAGCATTAGCACCGAGTTCTCCCATATAACAGGGCTTGATGAAAAACGCGAGGGATCCCTCACTGTCTCATTGCCTCGAGAGATGGGATATCTGGTTGGTTAAATACCCCGGAATTCCCACCTCTTTTGGGCTCTGAAGTATGGTGTAGTGGATACAAGTGTGTACCTGCCATCTTGATGGCCAGTGTTCGAGTCCCCTGGTGGGTGTGAGTGTCTAAAAGTTTATATATATATATATATATATATATATATATATATATATATATATATATATATATATATATATATATATATATATAATCGAACAAGCCTGAATGGTCCCCAGGACTATTGGACTATATTCACTAAAAACTGAGTTTTTATTCATATATATATATATATACACACACACACTTGAAAGAGCACTGATGTATGTTTCTAAATGGGGTTCTAATGTTTGCCAGTGTGCAATATGCTGCCAATGTTACCCCTGTGCCACAAGATATAGTGTTGGAATTATATCCTTTCTCAATTCCTTTACTTTTTCCGTCTCTTGTAGTTGCCTTCCCGCATGGTGTAGATACATTATGGTCTCCTTTATCCCTTTCCCTTCCTCACGAATTTACACTTGTTGGGGCTGAATTCTAGCAACCATATGTTTGCCCATTACTGGAGCTTGTCAAGGTCGTGTAACTTTATTCAGTCTTCCTCGCTTTATAGATCCTCATTACTTTACGTTGTCTGCTAATTCTGGTATATTCGAGTTCACTCTCTCAGGTCATTCACGTAAATTAGGAATAGTAAGGGGTCTTATTCCGACCCTTAGGAAACTCCCGTTGTTACTTCCCCCGAACCTCGTCTCTGAATGTGACTCTTGTTTTCTGACCTCAGGGAGGCCTTTACCCAGTTCACTGTCTTCCAGTTATTCCAGTTTGCTTCTTCATCTTGTACATCAGGAGCTCATGAGGAACAGTTTCAAATGTTTTTGACAATCTAGGAAAATAGTCTACTCATGCTTCTTTTTCTTGTTTTCTTTTAGTAACCTTATCATAGAACTAAATAACGTTTTTCAGGCAGGACTTTCCTGCACAATGAAATCACATTAACGTGATGAATCAATGAGAGAATCGGTTAGTCATCCTCATGGCTCCTAGTGATTTTCTCACGATATCCTCTTTCCTCTTCTATATCCATGTGCAGCCTTTTAGGTGCAAAGTTTATCCTCTCCAGATGTTTAATTATTCTCAACCTGATTACTTTTCTATCACCGTACACCGAATATTTACCAGTGACACAGATTTATGCTTTAGGGATTCCTGACTCTCTCTTTTTTTAAATATTGGGACTATGTCCTTTTCCGGAATTCTGGGAGGTTCCCAGTTTCAAATGATATATTGAAACATTTACTCAGCAAGTGACAATGTACCTCTGCAGCCTCCTTCAACGGCCGTGGTGGAATTAGGTTTGGCCTTAGATTTTATTGCATCTAATTCCTCCAGGTGTTTTTTAATCTCTTCATTGACTACTATGTTATCTACTGTTACCTCCAGCCTTTCATCTCGCCTCACAGTAAAGACCTGAAATCTTTTGTGTTCTTTATCCTTGTAATTTTTCGTGAGCACTCGACCTTATCTCTTGAAGCTGATCACGTGACTTCTTAGTGAAGTTTCCCCTTATCTATATCAATAAACGTTTGCTTATTTGTTCAAAGCTGGAAGCCAGATGCTTGGGGCTAGCTTCACTCAACTTTCCAAGATGAATCACTAGGGGATATGAAATACAAAGGTCAGTCTTGGTCAGTCAGTGTGCCTCATCTTAACAAATTGCGGCATCGATAGCGATTTTCTCGGATAAAGAGAGAGAGACACACAGACACTCTAACCTTTACATATGGAAAGAAAGAAAAGGCAACTGATACAACTTTTATCAATCACCAACTTTCAGCATTTTATACCTGGGGAAGAAGATGGCAGGTCACATTTGCTGCTGAGAAAATACAGGTAATGATGATAACTAGACTGCATTTTGAAAATCAGACAAGCTTGCAAATAGGTAGCATAAACCTGGAGTTGAGCAATAAAACTGACATACTGGGAATGAAGTTTGATTCTTCAACGGCAATGAAGAACCACATGCTTAACCTAACCCACAAGGCAGCCAGGAAACTTACAGCCCTATGGTGCAACTCACACCTTGACAGCAGAAATTGTAAAACCTTATATGAAGCACAATTAAGTTCACTCTCATTATGAGTATGCACCCCTCTCCTGGATTGCATGTCGTCCATCATTCACCAGAACTTTAGACAAAGTGCAGAACCGAGCAAGAAGGCTCATCTCTAGTCTTGACGAAGGCTGGTAGAAAGGGTCTGAACGTCAGTCTCCAACTCCATCGTTATGTGTGTGTGATTTTCTGCTATGTACAAGGCCAACATTTTCAAAGTTCCTCACCTGGCCCAACTTCATGGACAACCAGTTGTTGGCACCAATAACACAACAGTCTCAGCCGTCAATAGTCTCATGCTGGAACTGCCTTTCTCAAGAATATCACTCTACCACGATCATTCATTACTAACCTGACTTGCTTCTGAAACTTGTTCGCACAACTGCTTGATGCACGGGAGATCAGGTCAACCAATCACATAAAGGCTTTTCAATTCTACAATTAATTACTTATTTATGATTCATATAACTTAAAAAAAATCTAGGTAACCAAAAAATATTATAGTGTCTGATTCATGTTCTGGTCATTACAGAAGTGACACCTGGTCACAGACATACAGAAATTAATCCTCTTCATCACTGTTATCACATTCATTACTGGTATTGGAGTTGTTATCGCAACCACTGATTTGGCACTGGCCACAAGCGGCTGAATAGAGCAATCGATTGTGTTAACAACAACCTCGTGAAATGACACATTTCGTCTTGCATGAACAGTGGATCATGTGGAGTAGATAATCTGGTGGTGGTGGCATGTCACAGACTGTAGGATAGTAAGACTTATTCTGTACATACTAACTCTTCTGTATTGATCCGCTCTTTGTAGACTTCCAAAATCTTACAAAAATACAAAATGTGCAAAAGCTGTGGTATTTTATGGAAGAATCAGTAGGCGGCAAACTCACGGGTGTAAAAATTGGTTTTGCTGGAGCTACTTTTTGAACTGACATTCTATGACGTGCGTTAATGGTTTCCACTATTTTGCATTCATACAACAGAAGCATCAACTTTCTTTCAATGGCTTCAATATCCAGGTGTTTGCAACACTCAGAACAGAATGTATTTGCAACTGAATACAATCTCTTCATTAATGTATCGAAAGCTGTGGTCTTTTTGATCGAAACAATCAAGGTGTGATATTGTAGCTTGGTATCCGGCACTGCTCAGGTGAAAAACGTTACATCTTCACTACACATGACCCTTATCACTAACTATCTACACAATCTACAAATACATTACACTTAATATCTTAAGTCTACTTTGTTGCTAACTTTGCTTGTTTTATTTACTTTTTTTATTTTGTGCCTTCTACCGTGATAATTAGTGCATGAAACTCAAGAACACAGAGATGGTATTAAAGAAATAATGCAAAAATATACATATTTTTAAAACTTTGCAGGTGTTCCCGGTATGGGAGTACTGGGCACACTGGGCCGACCTGGAATGGCATCTGGCACGCGTGTCAGCTGACCGGCTCGTAGTTATGGCAGTGTCAGCTTCTGGTACAGTGGGGCTAAGAGGCGCTGCCCTCCGCCTTGCCCAACTCGGTTCTCTCTTCGCTCTCCACCTGCCACCCACTGCCCACTGGACATGGGTCTTCATTAAAGGTGGCCGCACCATCTCTGAAACAGCTATTCTCAGGGGAAGTGCAACTCAACATGCCCATCTCTTGCTTCCACTTTCGGACATACCAATGCCTGGCAGTAACAGTCAGGTAGAACAGCAACGTTGGGAATACTGTACTCACCATGGTACCATGGGTGGTCTGTGTGATGAGATCTCTCCCGATCCTTTGCCTATACCCACTCCTCTTCCTCTTCTCAACCAGGATGCCATAGCCGAAGTGCCCATTATCGTGACCGGCGGCAAGCGTCACCAGTATCTATATCACGCCCTCACTACTTTACTGGTCGCTCCCGGGGCTCGTCGGTGCAACCTACTGGTGGTGCTGGGCGATGCACCACTTGCCACAACTCAGCTTCTACATCTCCTGAATATTTCCTTCACTACACTTCCCATATATGGCCATGCCAATAACAAGCTTTTCCATTACTATCAAGGAGTCTTCCGTCTCATAGCTGATAGATTTCCCAACGCTACGGCCGTAATTCTACTCGATGAAGACATCGAAGTGTCTCCTGACTTCTTCGCATTCATGAGCCAGACTCTGTGGCTGCTAAAATCCGACCCCTCACTATACTGTATTAATGCTTTCTCGGCCGGAGGCTTCCAGGGTTTGGCATACGATAACAGGCGGGTGCTTCGTGGGTCGGTGCAGGTGGAGTGGGGCTATGGCATTACACTTGACTTTGTAAGAGAAGCCCTCGCCGCGTGGGAGCAGATGACCACTCCTAACACTCTCCTCTACGACTTCTGGCTCTACATGAATATGCGGAAGGGCCGCGAATGCGTTTTCCCAGAGGTAAGCCGAACCCTACACTTCGGCATGGGCGTCAACACAAACGCATTCCTAAAGGAGAAGGGTCCCCTAATGATGCCTCTGGTTAAGCTAGGCCCCATACTGTTACACGAGGTGTGGCGGCTGCGGCTGCCTACCTGGATTCAGGACCTCACCCGCAATATAAGTGCTGCCACCCCTCTTACAGGCAATCCATGCAGTGACACCTTTCTCCCAAAGTCCCCATCCATGTTTTCACTTTACGTCTTTTACTACAGGCTGGATTTCCTAAAGGATGGGGATGGGCTGCCAGACCCCTTCCAGTTGTTTAATGTGGCAGAATGCCTCGGGATGTGGTCCATGTCTGAGCAAGGACATCACCAGGGAGTACACGTAGTGAGGTTCTCCAGCAGCGCCACTCTCTACCTGGTGGGGGTTCCCTTCTCACAGTATTCTCATCTCCGACCCATCACCATTCCGCTGTGGGACGTCGACACCATCTCCGACCATCAGTTTGAGCTTATGGGGAACTATACACAGAAACACTACAACAGAATGATCAAAATCGCCAATGAATACATGACATCGGAGATGTTGCTCGAGGTACTGTCGACACCTGACTGAAAAAGCAGCTGTTTGATGCATGGCTGAGCCACTGTCATGGATTTTGACCAAAACTCTACGTATTTAAGTGGTTTTGCAAGAATGTATTACTTAATTTTAAAAAAGTTATAATATAATCCTACTATACCTTTTTGTAAATAAATAGGTGAATGCTTGTACCTGTCACACCTCTCAATATGAGTTTGGCATATTTATTACAAGAGGGTTACCCTGGTGTTACTCGGATGATGGAGGCCACATCTTCACTAAAAACTATTTTCATCACTGTAACCATCTTTACTACACTCAACCATCCTCATTGAAACCATTTTCACTACACACGATCTGTGTAGTTCCCCAGGCGGGCCGGCCGTCTGGCCGCCCGGCCACCCGGGTTGACCTCAAACCAGTCAGGTGAGATCAGGTCAATAATATATTATAATATAACGTTACAACGAAGATTAGAGTGTTATCAGCCTACCAAATAGACGTAGGAAGTCGATTTATTAAGGAGGAATGTCGCATATTGAAATTTAAAATGTATTGAAAAAAGGGTATATTAGTAAATTTTTTTTGCCTTGTATATGAGGGAGAGAACTGATGCTAATAAATATGTGGTGTGTTAATGAAAGGTGAATATAGGATTGTTATGGTACATTCAACCAACGGTAAATTAAATAAACTGCTGTCGGAAAACCCGACACCATTTACAAGTTTTAATACAATATGCAGATAATATTACTGTTGTTTTGTAATAACAAATTAACCCTAGAAATATCGCTTTAATCACTCATAGAAACTGAGGCACAGTGGAAATTTCCTCTGTAGAAAACAGGGGCCGGATTCAGGAAGGTACTTACGAAGGTTTTTCCTCTTAGCTAAGAGCGTTTTCCGTCTTAGCGCCTTCGTGGCGGCTACGTCCGTATTCAATTAACTACCCTAAGTGGAAAAACCTTCGTAAGTTCATTCCGGGATTTAAGTGTGGTTTCGACCACTCGTAGCTTTACGTAAACTGGATATAAGTCATTTTTTCTCTACTACATAACACTGGGATCGATTTATGATATTGGAACATGACCAAAATATTATAGCTGGTGAATCTAGTGGAGAGGAGTCCTTCGTGTTAGTTATATATGCATTCTCTGCTTGAAACTTGAAGTAAATATGTGTTTGATGATAGTAGAATTAGTTTTATAATAGCAAGATATTATACCAGTAGTTATTAAGTAAATAAACACTGGTGAACATGAAATATGAGAGAAGGTGATGAGCCCTGCCTGATGGGATCATTTACTATCACCAAATGCCCCTGTTCACCTAGTAGTAAGGGTGTACCTTAGCTATACATACCCATTTCTAATTTATTTAGTTTGGTTTTATTTTGAAATTAAATCTGGGTGAGACATAAAATAAAAATATGCTGCACAAATGATGTTAGGTAAGGAAAAGGGTAAAAATGTCAAAAACTTTATTCATTGAATACTTAAAGCTATAATTATGACTATATAGATTATTAAAAAAGAGAGAGGGAAGTAGGGGTCCAAGACCTCTTCCTGTTATACAATTTGGGTGTGGAACAAGTAATTATCAAAAGAAGGCACCATGCCGGGAAGGCTATGTAGCAGTAAGGCAGTGAGGTGAGGCAGCTACTTATTTGAGAAATGCTTATTTTATTTACCTTATAAGCTGAGGCAACTTATTTTATTTGAGGAATACTCAGCTGATTCCTCTACATTTAGCATGGAACAAATTTGTGTCCAAGACCTCTTCCTGTTACTCAATTTGGCTGTGTGTAACCAAACTAGAAGTGCTCTACAAATCAAGGGACCCAGAATGTGGAATGACCTCCCGAATCATGTCAAAGGCTGTACCTCTCTCAACCAGTTTAAGAGTTAAACCAAGTACTGCCTAATTAACTCCATGTAACCTAACTTACCTCCTAAATGTCAACCCATGTCTTGCTATTTTTTAAACAACGCTGTTCACCAACATGTGCAATTGCTGATTTATGCTATGTTAACCCCCTTTTTGTATTTTTTATTCCTTCTTTCAACACAATTTATACCTAATCCCGATTACTATTAAGTTTTAGTCTGTGTTTTTTTCCCCCCACACCTTGCCCGAAATGCTATGAGTATTAGTGGCTTTAGGTATTGTATGTACTAGCTCTGCCTATAAATCCAACATTATGTTTGTAAATCAACTGTATGTACTTTTCCTGAATAAAATGTATTTATTATTTATTTTTTAATCAGTAAGTATTAAAAGAAGGCACCAAGCTGGGAAGGCTATGTAGCACCATTGTGTGTAACAATAAACCAAATTTTTTTTAACAAATAATGCACCTGTATGGGAAAACAAATCCTGTCAGCTGTAAAAATATTGATGCAGTTATTTAAATGAAAAATATAATGAAAGAAATATTACTGGTTTATTTTTATCCTATCTTTTTGTACTGTACAGTATATCCAAGGAAGTGAAAAATTGAGACATAATGCACAATTTAATGAATGATTAGCATGGATTAGCAGTTCAAAAGAAATATGACTTGTATTACATATCAACATGAGATCTTAATGATCCATGGTCAACATGATTTAATAAGGATAATACAGTACTGTATTTGTAATAATACAAACTATAATTTAAAATCTTTATTACTGATTTTTTTTATTAAGAAGATTAGGTATACACAGCAATGTGCTGCTACCCTATTCTATATGGAATATTACACAGTGTAGATAAAAAACTAGCTATAAGTTTATCTAATACTCCCATCTCACAGGATGGTTAGACATACTGTACATGGAATCAATTTAGAAAATACCAGCCTCAATACAAAAAACAAATCAACTCTGACTAAACAACTCTAAGCAATTTTCACAAGAGGTAAGCACTGAATCATGGAAACATTATATTATAATTACTCTTACCAGTTTCTACAAAACTCCTCTCAAACAATGTATTTTTAAACATGTTTAGGTATACACAGCAATGTGCTGCTTCCCTATTCTGTATAAAGGACCACACAGTGTAGATCAAAAACCAGCTACAAGCTCACCCAACATCCTCACCTCACAGGATGGCCAGTCATACATGGAATTAGGAGAGAACAAAATACTTAATGCTGATCTATTAGCCTCCACTGGCAAAATCTGGGTGCAGCACAAGAATATCTTCCAATATTCCTGAGTGTATGAAGTAATTACAGAGCTCAAAATACCTCATACCATTTGGTATGAAGTCACTGATAACAGGACAATCACAGATATAGTGTTGGAGAGTATGTTCTCTCAAGTAGGACTGAAAACAGATGTTTTTTTTCCACCAAGAGGGCTATAAACCCATGGAACCGCCTACCCGCTGAAGCCGTAAATGCCAAATTCCAGCTAAAAAATATCATTAAGACAATTGGCGGGCCCTTTAACAAGCCGCCGGCTTTCTGTCCTCTTCGAGGTCACTAGATAGTTAGTGGCCCTTGGGTAAATTCAGTAAATATATACAATAATTGTCAGCGCATCTTCCGAGCAACAAGGACAGCTACACAGTATCTCTTAGAATTACGTAGGTAAACAACAAATGTAACATATTTGTTTACTACAATGTCGGTGCTGGCTGTAGAAGTTGAAAAAACATTGTTTTACTTCGAAATATACTAATTTTATAAGAAAATTCGACGTAAATAGGAGGCAGTAGAGCTCCGATAAGCCAGCGCTAAATCTTCAATATGAAGAATGTTGCTGCTCTCTGATTGGCCAAACGAAACACAGTAGTGACCTCTATCGGCACGCAGGTGAACCAACAATTTTCTTCCTAAGTATACCTTATTGAATCGCACCTAAGCATCTTCTTAGGGCGCACTTAGGAACCTTCGTAGCAAACCCACTTACGAAGAAATACACAGAGCTTCCTGAATCTAGGTCCTACCGGCCAGAAACTATGCGATTTTTGCTGGTGGCGGGCAAAAATAGCGCGATTTTCCCCGCTACCGGCCAAAGACCGCGCGATTTTCGCCGCTAGCGGCCAAAAACCATGCGATTTTCGCAGCTGGCGGGCAAAAATCGCGATTTTCGCCGCTACCGTCCAAAAACCGCGCGATTTTCGCCGCTAGCGGCGAAAAACCGCGCAATTTTCGCCGCTACCGGCAAAAAATCGCGCGATTTTCGCAGGTAAATGCCAAAAATTGCGCGATTTTCGCCGCTAGCGGCCAAAAATCGGGCTATTTTCGCCGCTAGAGGCCAAAAATCGGCGATTTTCGCCCCTAGCGGCCAAAAATCGGGCAAATTTCGTAGCTACCGGCCAAAAATCATGCGAATTTCGCCGCTAGCGGCCAAAAATCGTGCGAATTTCGCCGCTAGCGGCCACAAACCATGCGATTTTTGCAGCTGGCGGGCAAAAATAGCGCGATTTTCGCCGCTACCGGCCAAAAACCGCGCGATTTTCGCCGCTAGCGGCCAAAACCCATGCGATTTTCGCAGCTGGCGGGCAAAAATCGCGATTTTCGCCGCTACCGGCCAGAAACTATGCGATTTTTGCTGCTGGCGGGCAAAAATAGCGCGATTTTCCCCGCTACCGGCCAAAAATCGCGCGATTTTTGCCGCTAGCGGCCACAAACCATGCGATTTTTGCAGCTGGTGGGCAAAAATAGCGCGATTTTCGCCGCTACCGGCCAAAAACCGCGCGATTTTCGCCGCTAGCGGCCAAAACCCATGCGATTTTCGCAGCTGGCGGGCAAAAATCGCGATTTTCGCCGCTACCGGCCAGAAACTATGCGATTTTTGCTGCTGGCGGGCAAAAATAGCGCGATTTTCCCCGCTACCGGCCAAAAACCGCGCGATTTTCGCCGCTAGCGGCCAAAAACCATGCGATTTTCGCAGCTGGCGGGCAAAAATCGCGATTTTCGCCGCTACCGGCCAAAAACCGCGCGATTTTCGCCGCTAGCGGCCAAAAACCGCGCAATTTTCGCCGCTACCGGCAAAAAATCGCGCGATGTTCGCAGGTAAATGCCAAAAATCGCGCGATTTTCGCCGCTAGCGGCCAAAAATCGGGCTAATTTCGCCGCTAGCGGCCAAAAATCGGCGATTTTCGCCCCTAGCGGCCAAAAATCGGGCAAATTTCGTAGCTAGCAACCAAAAATCATGCGAATATCGCCGCTAGCGGCCAAAAATCGTGCGAATTTCGCCGCTACCGGCCAAAAATCGCGCGATTTTCGCCGCTAGTGGCCAAAAACCGTGCGATTTTCGCAGCTGGCGGGCAAAAATCGCGCGATTTTTGCCGCTAGCGGCCAAAAACCGAGCGATTTTCGCCGCTAGCGGCCAAAAACCGCGCAATTTTCGCCACTAGCGGCCAAAAATCGGGCTATTTTTGCCGCTAGCGGCCAAAATCGCGCGATTTTCCCCGCTACAGGCCAAAAATCGCGCGATTTTCGCCGCTAGCGGCTAAAAATCGGGCTATTTTTGCCGCTAGCGGCCAAAAATCGACGATTTTCGCTGCTAGCGGCCAAAAATTGTGCGAATTTTGCCGCTAGCGGCCAAAAATCGTGCGAATTTCGCCGCTACCGGCCAAAATCGCGCGATTTTCGCCGCTACCGGCCAAAAACCGCGCAATTTTCGCCGGTAGCGGTAAAAATAGCCCGATTTTTGGCCGCTAGCGGCCAAAATCGCGCGATTTTCGCCGCTACCGGCCAAAAACCGTGCGATTTTCGCAGCTAGCGGGCAAAAATCGCGCGATTTTTGCCGCTAGCGGCCAAAAACCGAGGGATTTTCGCCGCTAGCGGCCAAAAACCGCGCAATTTTCGCCGCTAGCGGCCAAAAATCGGGCTATTTTTGCCG